GACCGATCCTAGACACCTTAACAAACTCGAAATAACTACGAGCATATCGCGACCTGATTAGCCACTGATATCATCTTATACGATTTTGTACGCGTCGGTGCACTGCATACGATCGGGTAGGGGCGGGCCCCGTACGAACGTTATGCGCTTAATAAACAACAACACACATGTTAAATTAGGGCACGTAATTCGTTAAGGGATTATTTATATCGTTACTTATATATTCGGTAGAACCACAGCCACGATTCTATAGATTATAAGACAATTGACTATTCACAAACGCCCCGCGGTAGGTGAAGCTGCGGATTTTTAGAGATCTGGCACGGCTAATGTGATTCAGGCAGAATACGCGTGTCGCCTATGGCCTGGACCGTTGTAGGCATCGCCGGAAGACATGAAACAGTTGGAAAGGCAACATTAAATCGCTTCGCACATACGATATACGCAAAAAGCTCAATGTTGAAAATACTCTTACGCAAATGACATACCATGCGGCATGCCGCGGGCGTTTGGTGGCGGTAAATAACGGCTTTAGGCTACCTAATTATTCTAGAAAATATAATCGCTATGTTCGCTGCCAAATCGATATACATAAATGACACAACATCAAAATCGAAACGGCCCGCTTGTGGCCCAAGTGTTAAGCGTAGGCGTCCTCTCGTAAATTTGTATAATCATATAAAAATTATTCTTTTTATAGAATTAAGTACTAATGTTACAAACTACGCGCCAATCGCCCTTCAAATGAAGCGTGGCGTATAAAAATGCATTTATGCATTTTATTATTAAAAATTGTTCACAATAATACTTCGAGACATCACGACAAAAAGTATACATTCTATCTTTTCTTAAAATTGTTTTTAAGAAACCAACTAAGATTGTGTCTGCATACAATCTCTTGTTATTTTCACCATTGACAAAACGGATTTAAATTCGAACGCCAAAGTTGACTATCACGCACAGCCAAAGTAATTTACGATATTATTAAAGTAAAGCTTACTAGAATAATGGTGCCAATTATCGAGAGTTGAACACTATATGCTTAAAATTTATCTAATCTCTAAAAAAAAATCGTTAAACTAATTCACATACAATGGTGTTCTCGTTACGGACGTCGCTGACTCAACACTTGGTCACACGAATGTTTCAATTTGCATCCTGTACCAGGCCGTTTCTGCACTACTCAGTTACTCACATTTCGAGTTCCAATAAACTTGACTATAACTTCACACTAGTTATACTTTACAACACTAGTTTGGGTTACGGTTAATAGCTAAGCGAAATACATTCCTAGTAAAAATTCAATACGGTTCATCGATGGAAGTGGAGAAGGATGGATGAAGGATGTCTTGTTGGCAAGATGACTATTTGCACTCGTGTGTATGTATGAGTTTGGTTAACTTAATACGGTTGGAAACAAATTTGGAATGAAAGTTGTAAAAATACACTTCGTGCATAATTTAAAAATTTTACGATAACGTAAATCGCAATGTCTTCGGGGTGACTTGAGCGTAATGAGAACATTTAAGTCCATCCGTTGGCACCAGGCACTTAATGCCGAACGGGCTTAGTGCGTTTAGTGACGCCAGGCATCCGTAAATGGGGAGAATGACCACAGATTCAATACAATATCGCGCATTTAATAGAGGTAATCTATAAATAAAAGTGAAAAAAAAAAACATCACAATTAATCAACTGGTTGTGTTAGGTATAAAGGAGGCAATTCCCCTTCAACTTTGAATTGATTGAATCACTTTGAAGTAACATTATGGTGTTACTAATCGTTGATAACGGAAAGACGAGGGTAATTAAAGCATAAATTACAAGTTAAACGGCAGTAAATAAACAGTAAATAGAAAAATCCCTTATTATGAGACCACAGCTCAAACATAACAGCGATATCTAATCGTCGTATTACATGTAGGTGAGGCGTTATTTCACGTCCTGAACGCTGAATCGTGTCAACATGCCATGGAAGACCAAAGAAGATCCATCGGGAGGCGGAGATCACTTCAAAAAGCCACTCGTGAAGCGCTTTCGATCTGAACAACGCAACAGAAAGATTCGGACAAACTCAATAACTTAAAACAGATCATGCGCACACACTAAATTAAAACATCGTAATCTTTGGTTTCGCATTTGAATGTACACACATGCGTCAACTGGCATACAGAAACGTCAAGCGTACATGACATTGGGAATTGAAACCGTATTGAAGTCACGATCGGCTAGTAAGCGGCTGACTTATCCTACGTAACTCTAGACTATAATAGACTTAATTACTAATGTTACATACCATTATAATGATTACGCTAAGCCTGTACAATATAGACAAGACATTATTGAAGGTGTAGTCGCAAATATTACATTTATAGACACGATAATTGATGATGGCCTGAGGAACACGCGGTTTAAACCAGTAGCATAATAAATACAAGGGTGACACAACAGCTATGGTACAATATTTTATTGGGCTTCTGCATTAATACTTAATCGTGTACATATGCGTGGAAGATAAGAGTCGACAAGCTCATAATTGCAACGCATTCGCTCAGGCCACCACTGAAAATACTGACTATTGAGAGGTGAAACAAAAAAGAAATCATAAAAGAACCGAACGTACAAATTTGGACAAAATAAACTTCGATACGTGCCTCGAGTAGGACATAAAAACGTGTAGAGCGAAATGTAAAATCGACCTATATGAGGTAAAAACCATATTGCCCTTTCGTTATACTCGATTACAATAAAAATCCGCGTATCAAAACTCGGGACGCGCAGTAACCGTATATAAACGGCGGTGCTCCGCGTCCCCTAAAAATGTACCGTGATCACACAAATAAACTCCTTACAATAAAAAATACAAAGTGACGCCTTTTACACCGAATCGCACCTTACTGGCGAGTGGAGTATTCACCGCTAATTGCTCATCACACTGCCGCCAATTTTTACCATTGTTTGGTCTTTGATTTGTCAATGTCACTTTGACAGCTGGAGGTTAAAAAAGGCAAAGGTCAACGCGCGTAAGGCTCGATCACCATGCGCCGCAATTGCAATGTGGATTTGTTATCGTATTTGTATAGCCCCACATTTTGTTATATTTCTGAACGTTTTATCTCCTGGAAAGTTCTGAGTGCTAACAAAAATTCTAAAGAAATGAGACTTGTCACTTAAGTTGGCTTTATATAATATCAGTTTTGTATCATCGCATTACAGTGATGCGGGATGTTTTGTGATTGGTTCTTGCGGGGCAGATACAAACGACGATAGGGTACTTAGAGCTGTTATAAAAACAATAGAAATTTGTCAAGTCTGGCCTTGGACTTTTGTCCCTAGGTGGTATTATTTCAAAAGTCAGGCCAAAGCCAAATTTTTATTTAAAATATATGAAAGAAACATAATAGACAACCAATAAAGGCACTCAGGTGGCGAATAATTTTCAAAAAAAATTACTAAAACAGATCTTAATGAACGAAAAAAACATTGTTTTTTTATATTTTTGATTTGTTTTTTCCCTTTTTTTGACGGTAGACTATCCTCACCCAGTGCAGATTTAATGGCAGTACCTAAGGGTATTGGAATTTTCAATTTTCTTTTTTTTTTTTTTTTTACAAAAATAGCGATTTGACACACAGCAAAATTATTACATTTAAATTCGACCGTTTCGATCTCGTCGTCCGTTGTTCTGTTCTTGGTCGCGGGCGAGAGTGCCGCCGATGCCTTATCGTGCGAACTACGCGCTCAATTGCGTTGTACGTTTTTTCACGGTGGCAACATTCGTACGTATCCGGGGGAATCCCACGAGGTGATCTAATCAGAGTCAGGCAATACCACATCGGGCGATGCCGCAAGTCGCCACCATCGCACGTGGATCCGACACGACAGTACACGCGACCCGACAATATCACAACAAACTTAATACTGTTCGGTTCCACAAGTTGCTCTAGATAAAAAGCGTAACGTGCAAACGTAGACACTCGCCGTAATTAGACGCCGTCGTCGACTTTTACGAAATGCGATGCGTTTCCGTAAACGCTAGTGTGACGCGTTCGATAGCCCTCGCGTCACTCATTCATTCTTCCAGCTGGCCGTTCGATCAATAATCCAATATTCGACGACGTCGTCGTCAAAACAAATAAGCGAACAGGTGCGGGTAACGTCCGCGCAGCGAGTCCAACCAGGAATCCGTGTAAATTGTACAAAAACGGAGTCGCAAACGCGGACGTCCCTCTTTGCGACACGGACAAACGGCAACTTATAATCGCGCGCAAACAATCGTATAAAACTAGCCTAATTACACCATGGATAACCGTCCGATTGGAGACGAGAGAAATTTCGTACTGAATGTTTAATACTTACACTATACTTATGTTATTTGCGAATGGGAAAGGGCGTACGTTACGCGACACCGGGCGGTTCGTCCCATGTATTCAAATAAAAATCATTAACAACCGACGAACGTAATCCGCCTGTTCAATTTGTCATTACATATAAACGCTGTAATTACAAACGGAACAGTGTTTGAATAAAAAAAACATCATAATTATAAAACACTCTGTTTGTTCAACATAGAAGTTTGGTGAAGAATATGAAACAAAAAAAAAAGTTTACTCAATAAACAATTTTAGTGTACAACTAAATAGTTTCATAGATACTATAGATAACTATATAGATACTTATCGCAAACAACTGAATTCGACAATTTCGAACATTATCTCTGAAGTGCCAACCCTAACCAGTTAGAGAGAGACGGCTGGTGGTGTCGCGGTCTCTGTCCGTCGGTACTTTTGCCGCCGTCACGTAAGGAGGACGGCGGGAGAAGTACGTAAGCGCAATACAAGTAGGGGCTGCGAGACGCGAATAGATAAACTTCAAAAGAACGGGAACGAAACACCCGGTGGGAGGGGCTTTCCCATTCGGAACCTAATCCTAGCTTACTTCAATACTCCGCAAGGGATACACGAAGCCCTAAGCTAACACCGTTGATATTGGCCCGCTTATATGTCGGCCAGCAGCTCCGAGTAGTAGTGGGTGGCGTTCAGGTAGTCCAGGAGGCGGCGCGGTAGCGGCAGGCTGTTGACCAGGTCGCGGCGCACGTGCTTTAGTATCACGAAGCTGCAAAAGACGGGCACACTCGTTGTAGACACACTGTGGTGGGGCCACACAACAGCATCGGCTGTGTTAAGCGCCGCGGCATAACAGAAGACATAAATGTGGCAGGGCCACGCAGCAGCCTTCTCTGTTGCACGGGTGGGCAGGCTCCACCGGGTAAGTACCACGACCTCACAGAGACCGGCGTAAAGTGGAAGTATAATACATACTTTCGCGTTTCGTCTGGTTGGTGAGTGAGGTGGCCGGACACCAATTTTCAAAAGGTTGTCAACGCATCTGCAACCCTCTTGTATAGCATATGTCCATGGGCGGCGGCTTGCGTGCTCTCTTGGCAACTTGTCACAAAAAAATGCTACACTTGTGTGAGTGTGGTAGCCAGAGCTCACTTGTAAAAGGTGGCAATGCATCTGCAATGTGGTATTGGCCTACCCGTGCGAATCTTCAATTTTGATAATTATGTAAATATAAGCGATCCCGCGGTGTATACTCAGTATACTAAATGAAGTGCATGTGTGCGACTCGCCTGTGTCGCGAGCACACAGGCGTGTTTGTGTGTACGCTTAAATGCGTGGTTCGTTGTACGTGCATTCTCTGTGCGCGTGTGTGCACGCACGCGGGCGCGTGCGCGTCCGTGTGCGCGTCTGAGTTTGTGTGAGTGTGAGTTTGAGTGTGAGCGGCTCACCGGCACGAGTGCTGCAGGCTCTGCACGCGCTTGAATCGCGACACCGGGTAGAGCAGCTGCACCCGCACCGGCCCCAGGACTGGACGAAGATTTAGGAAGAAGAGGTATCGTCCGGAGCGCGAGGTCTCCACGGCGTTCTCGATGAACTCGACGATCGTCTGCGCCTTGAACATCGTGCAGCCGCCGAAGCAGAAGTTGCCTGCAGCAGAAATCGCACTTCTTGATCGACTTTTTTCTTTGTACGGACTGACGCCGCCTCAGCTACGGACTCGGCGGTTTAGGTTATGTCAGGTTAGGTTTTGATTTTAATTAAAACCCCTCATTTAAATTGCACTTTATTTTAAGTGCTCAGCGGTGAAGGAAAACATCATGAGGAAACCTGCATATTTTCGAAATAATAATAAAAATAAAAAATATTTCGAAGACATGCGAAGTCCGCCAAACCGCAGTGGGGCCGCGAGGTGGACTATGCCCTGATACTGCCCTCTGTAAAGAGGAGGCCTTTGCCGAGCAGTGGGACATGTATAGCTTGATACCTTTACTTTATTTAAGATTAAAACCTAACCTAACCTAAGATAACCGCTTGTGTGCGCGAACTACAATATCGCACTTTATTGGCGCATACATATATTTAATACGTAAGTGTTTTTTTATGTGTGGAAAAAGGAGGCAAACGCGCATTGTTTAGCCGATGGTAAGCGATGGTAAGCACTTGTGACATCTGTTGAGTAACAATTGCGTTTCATCGTCATACAGAGATTTTATCGCCGTAAACGTCCCAAGTTAGTCTCAAAGCGCTTATACACAAATTACAAAACACGCATTCTTCCTTTCTATATCTATATATTCCTCCCGATTTGAGCCAATGAACGATAATTTTGAGTTATGAGGGTAAAATATTTTAGATGAGCGCGCACAGCGACAACCAAAAAGTGAAACCGTGAAAATGGCGGAGCAACCAACTACACGGTATTACCATAGCAACCAATTAAAACCGTTTGACATTTACTTATAATTCCAAGTTATTTAATTAAATCGTTTTCAATTACACAATTTTCTTCACTCTAGTGTGTATTATTTTAATTTTTTAAATTTTTTGTTAATTTTTTGTGTGCGTCCTTGTTTGGTAAATAAATTTATTTTCTTTCTTTCTTTCAATTATACGTAATGGTTTTTTTTACAAAAAAACGAGCACGGGGACAAACATTTTTAATTTTCTTTTGTAATGATAAAGAACCTTTTTATTTTTATTTTATAAAATGTTTTATTTTAATAACCGTGACAAGCGTACAAGTCCTAAAACTCGTAGGGTATAAATATTAAAAAAAAAAATAGATATAAAAAAAATAACGTCATTGGCGTTAAAATCAACTACATACATATGTGCGTCAGTGACGAGAACCCATAAGTTTGCCTACACCAAAAATGGCTCGTCGATACTTAAAAAACATTCACTTCAATTAAACCATGACATAAAATCATGACGTGAACTGCTTGGCTAAATAAGTTAATCCGAAATCGAAGCGCGATTGCTAAAGTATATTGAAAAACAATAGAAATGGTAATAGCAACGGAAAATGTTGTAAAGGAGAAAACTACGTCACTCGCAACATTTTGACGTACACTTTGCCATCCAATCGCGATGTGACGTCAATATTTGTCCACAACGCCGTCAGCTTTTTGAGCTCGAACGACAAACGCTGGATCGACATGTCACTTTATTGTCCCCGACGCGACCAACCCGAAAAACGCTTTGATCGTATGAGCTTCAAACTGCAAACAGGTGGGAGCAACGCTCAAATATTTAGCGTTGAAAAACAACCGAACAAAAAAGCGAACGGCTACGCTTCATTTTACCGATAAACTGGTTTGTTACGCCTTTTACTGTTGGCAAATAACGCGTAGCGTTTAAAAGAAAAAAAAAAACATGCACGTATTCCCAGTTTACTGTACCCAAAATCCTTTGCTGAAATTTTTAAAAGTCAATTTTGAAGTTTTTACTTCTTTTGGAGTGCTTGGAAAAAAAATTTATGTGAGTAAAATTTTTTCGACATCCGAAAAGCGACACGACGAAGTTGGTTCGATCAAATTCGATCAATTTGACGGTATTACCATGACAACAAATAACAACTTTTTGACATTTACCTATAATTCCAGCTTATTTATAGCGTTATCAATTGCATACAGTAAAAGACATACACACACATTTTATAAATGTGCAAAGTGTAACTCCTTACGTGCGTACATAAGGACACACATAATTTTTTTCGCGACACATTCAACCGTCGGACACGCGCGAATATCTTCAGCTAATACGGGCCGCCCGACCGCCGGTGATACGCGCGCAAGTGGTTTCTTACCTTGGTCGTGTTCTATGCGGACGTGGCGCAACCCGTTGAGCTTGAAGGTGAGCGTGAAGATGTAGTGGTCGTCACTGCTGTCGCGCACAATGAAAGAGCCGTCTGGCTCGTTCGACAGAATCTTCTCGGCCGCCTCCACGGATAAGGGGCCCCAGTACCACGGGTACTGGAAAGTGTGCGCAGAACATTACGACCGCCCCATTTCTCCGTGGGCTTTTGGCTTTTTGGCCCCCGCCGGTCCGCTAACAAACCTATCCGCGGCTAATCATTCTATTTTGTCAGTCGGCTTTGGGAAAAAAGGACCGTATACAATCCAAATTTAACTATTTAAAATTATCGTATATCTCCACAATTAATTAAACTCCTCTTTGTCTTCCACCATGATGCGTCCATGCATCGTTAAATTTTTTTACAACTTAAAATATTCACTAAGATCATGGTGTCTCCTTAGTGACAGAGGTCTCATACTACCTTATCTATCCCAAATAACCCTGATAAAACCGAAGAGAAAAAAAAAAGTATATAATTATGTGTACTTGTGTAGGCACGTAAGAAGTTATACGTCTTTAGCAAAATAACAAATAATGTTTTATCCCCCGTGTCAGTAATCTCGTTAATAAAAAGCGAAAATTACATTAAATGGAATTGATAAATAACTTGGAATTATAGGTTTTTTTACGCAAAAGAGTTGGCCTTTCACCTGATTTTAAGTGATAATCACGCCCATTCACACTTGCAACATCCGTAGTAGATGCGTTGTCACCTTTTAATAAAATGGACTGCGGCTACCTCACTCAGCAGACGAAAAGCAGAAGTATAACACTTCCACTTCCCGCTGGTCTTCTGTTAGGTCACGGTACTCATCCAGACGGACCTGCCCATTCGTACAACGGCTACAAATCATACCCGCAGCTGCTGCGTGGCTCTACCAAAATTATAGGTAAATGTCAAAAGTTGTAATCGGTTGCCATGGTAATACCGAGAAGTTGACGAAGTTGGTTGCAACTGCTTTGCGTTCAGTTCATCAACATTCAGGATTCCTTACCGTCATCCTTTCTCTGCGGGTACTATAGATAGTGCCCAACACGAGTGTTTTTGTTGCGTGCCATTAGATCGGGGCGGTGTTGCAGTTGCACAGTACGGTATAAGTTTATATTTGGGCCACTTACGTCCTTGACCTTCTGGATGGAAGTGGCGAAGTCCGTGGCGGCGTCGTCGTCTTGGCCGTGCCGGCGGTGGTGTACGGCGCGCGGGGACGTCGGCAGTGGCGGGAGGGCGCGCCGGACGGCGGCCTGCGGCGGCCGCGTCACCGGCCCGACGGGGCCCGACGCGGCGCCGGCGCCGACGGCCGCCGCCTCCTCGGAGCCACTGCGGCGCCAACGGAACAGGTTGCAGAAGCTCTGCTTCAGGTTCATCGACAGGATCCTCACGGGCGACATCTTGGGCTTCGCGTTTGGGGTCTTCTTGCCGCCCCTATCGCTCCTCTCCGCCTCCGCGAACTCTATGGCGCTTTCCTTGTGCTGCTTGTCGTTAACGCTCAGAGCGACCGAGTTCTTGTTGGTGCTGCGGTGGTTGTTGTTCGCTTCCGCGGTGCGGGTGAGCTCGTTGGCCTCCTTAAGGAACGCAGCGTGGTTGCCCTCCCTCTTGTTGCCGTGCCTCACGTGGACGCCGACATTGGTAGCGACGCCGGTGCCCCTCTTATTGATCGTGCTCCGGCATTCGGAGTCACTCGAGCTCGAGTACAGGGTGTGCAAGTACTTCCTCATCTCGCGCAGCGTGAGATGCAGCGAGTCGTTGTCGGTGTCGGTGTTGTTCCTCTTGCACGAGGAACTGGGCAGGCTGTGCCTCTTGGTTTTCACGTCCTTCTGCCGGCTAGGATCCTTCGGCCGGTGGCTGCGTTCGAGCGGTGCGAAGCTGCTGCCGCCAATATTCTGCGGGGTGCTCTTGCCGCGTCTCCTGTTGGGCCGGGTGGACTTCTTGGGCTTGCCCCGGGTGGTGCTGTGGCTCGGCCTCACCATGTCTATTGGGACCGCGTAGATGTCGCTGTCGAATGGGACATTGTACATGTCGGTTATGGTAGATGTCTTCGCGGAGAGCGTGTCGTGTGATATAGCCTGCGTGATGAAGTTTGAGTCGTCCGCTTGGAATTGGGTGCAGAGGGAGTTGTGGCTGCTAGAGAGGCGGGAGGAGAGAGAGCTGCGCGACGAGGGCCTGGTAGTGCGGCAGGGGCTCAGGTGTAGGAGCCTGGAGCTGGCGAAGCAGTGGTTCAGCCCTTGGCGGCGGTCGTACAGCGTCTCCGGCTTAAGCTTCCGCGGGTATATGGGCGACACGTGCCGTCTGTACATGCCCACCTCGATGCCCCCCGGTTTGATCCCAGTCGGAGGCGCATTGGTGGGCCGAAGAGCAGGTACGTATAATGCCACGGACCTGTTAAGATTGGTGGGGTCCACTGGATCATCCTGTAAAACAAAAGGGAATCTTGTCACAATACTCTAAGAAAAAAGGGTTACATTTTACACATATTTCAGCAGAAGCTAAAGTAATATTACATTCTATACTGTTAATGTAAATAAAAAAAAAAACAACGGCAAACACAATGGGCTCTTTTTACGAAAAATTTTATTCACGGCCAAATTGCTTTCAAAAGGGACGCCGAGGCTAACAAATCAAATTACATTTTATATTGCCGCCTACAGTTCCGCAAATGAAGTAAAAAATTTCCAGCAAACAAAAATATGTTTCATTATTCCTACAATATTCTCGTATGTAGAAATTTATTTGGATTGAAAAAAAAAATTACAATTTTCATCATTTTACTCGAGATAAACAAATATCTTATATTGTCGTTGGAGGAATTTTTCTGTCATTTCTAAAATGACTAGAAAATGATCGCTCGGTAGTAATTAAAGTACCTACTCAGTTTAAGAACATTTTACTGTAAAACATTATTAGAAGAAATAACGGCTTATTAGAAGAAATATTTGCAAATTATTTACAAAATATTGCAATGGAAATGCCAACATGAATATACCCATAAATAACTAAGGTAAACCAATTTATATATAATAAAAACACGCGAACAGCAAGCGTCTTGTCTTATTAAAGTCAAGAATTACACGAGTGGATTGAATAGACGATTTTGCTCTGTCGAAATATAAATATGAAGAGTAAAACGGAGGTATATTTTCTTAGAAAAGTTTCCGACGTTAAAAGTTTTTATTTATTAAATCGGCGGTGTCGTCTTGGTTTTTAAAGTGAAATCTTTGTAACAGCGACAATAAAGAAGAATGTTCAGCCTGTCCTCTCCGTCGGATGGATTGGACGCCCGTGTGTGGAGCCACCGCCTTTGTCGTCAGATGCAACGGACGTCGAGCGTTTGTTTATCGTTCAGCAAAATTAAGGGGAAACCTCTCGGAGAGATGCAAAATCTCTAAGAGCAATTACATTACAACAAACTTTCATACGTGAATCATTGATACGTAAAAAATTATTTAGACCGAAAAACTAACAAACACTTAAAATCACTTTTTTTAAAGTTTGTAATGTATTTTTTATTTGAATCGAGCGACCCGCCCCGGCTTCGCACGGGTGTAATGTATTATAAATATAAACCTTCACCTTGAATCACTCTTTGTAGTAAAAAAAGATTGCGTATCAAGTTTCGTTGCGTAGTTTTAAAGATCTAAGCATATATAAGGACAGTCAGAGCGCAACGACTTTGTTTTATACTATGTAGTGAAATTGGCAAGAGATCTGCCCATGGATATCTACAGGACCACGAGACGTAGGAAGCGTCGAAAAAAATTAAAAAAAGTCAGCCCCGACTACCTTACTACCAGAGGAACTGGACAGTATAATACTTTCACTTGTTGTCGGTATCTTATCCCATTAAATATTGACTAGTTGAACCGGGCGAAATTTTCGCACAGTCAACCGTTATTACCGTGATTAGTTACCGAATGGTAAGTAAACAATGCATATATCATTGAAAGGTAAATGAAATATATGTATTTTTGTTAAGTGTTTACCTTTAAAATGGTGTTTCAATCATTGAATTTAATGAAGAATTAAGAAAGTTATTGCGTACCGAAAAAAAAGACCATTGAGAAATGACATAGAGGTTTTTTTTTAAAAAGCTTTGAAATACATTTATTGTTTAACAATTATTCCAACGTATTGAGGAAAATTACATTTTTATACACAGAAAGAACTTTATAATTTGAGCACAAACACTTTTAAACATACGGTACATAAAATAAAATAAACCACGGACCAAGGCAGTTGTAATTCAAAACTGTCATACATACTAATATATAACAGTAAACAAAACAGAAATGTAAATGAAGATGAACTAAAGTATACGGTTTAACAAAATTTTCAGTGTAAAAGCAGTATTCCTTTCCTTAAAATATAAATAGAACGTCAACAGTTATTACATGTTCCGTGGATAAAGATCTCACCTTAGGAACTTTTAAGGAGTGTAGTGAAAGTTTTGATTTCTTAGTAAAAGCAATCTTCGAGCACTTAAAATTTTTAACGTCCTTTTCCGCGCCATAAAAGTTTCATTTTTATATTCCGCCCATACATGTCTTTTCGTAGTAGCTACAAAACTTTTCTTACTTGAAAATAGATTAAAATAAATTTTATAACCTTACATCGGCTAAAGTGATATTTTACGTAGACGACGACGGTTAGAAAAATTCCCTGTAACACGAACTAAAAAGACGACTAGCTTCACGTTTAGGCGTGTTGAAATGTATTGTACTCGGACAACCCCATTACAGGATCTGTTCTTGGCACCGAGAAAACCGCAACTTGAGTGTTCATTTAATAATAGAGCATTTAACGGTGGTAGGGCCACGCAACTGTGTTGCACGAATGGGCTGGTTCGTCCGGGTTGGTACCACGACCTCACAGAAGACCGACGTAAGGTAGAGGTGTTGCGCTTCTGCGTTTAGTCTGCTGAGTGAGGTAGCCGGGGCCCACATTATTAAGAGGTGGCAACGCATCTTCGGTTCCTACGGGTTTTGTAAATGGCCATGGGCAGGCGGTTATCACTTAACATCAGGTGAGCCGCCAGCTCGTTTGCCACTTTATCACGTAAAAAAAAACTAACACAATATAAAACTAATAGTAGCAGGCTAATGCCCATTTTCCGAAAGGCCAATTAAAGCAGCAATCACATACACTATGCCAAAAATGATCAGTTGTTAATCTCTTGTTAAACTGCCTTGGGTTTCTGGAAGGTTTGTTCAAGAAAAATTAGCTAATCACTGTATAACCAATGATAATGAATGAAATGAATGATTTACTTCAACCAACTCTTTCTATTGTATAGCTGTCTCTTTTTAAACAAAACTTAACGTCACTATCCAGTCCTGTCACCGTGTGATTGCCAACGTAAAAATCCGAGCTATAATAAAATTTAATTTATATAAATACATGCAAAACGTCAAAAAAAAAAAACTTTACAGAACGTGAAAAAAATGTACTTTTATCCATAATAAACAAGTAAGTATTATAAAAAGAAAGAATCCATATTATTTATTAACTTTTGAATTGCATTTTGTATTTTTTCTAATCACATGATATGTTTGCATAATAATAAATAAAAAGTAAAGTAAAGTATCAGCCTATACATGTCCCACTGCTGGGCAAAGGCCTCCTCTATACAGAGGGTATCAGGGCATAGTCCACTACGCGGCCCCACTGCGTATTGGCGGACTTCACATATCTTCGAAATATTTTTTTTTGTTATTATTTCGAAAATATACAGGTTTCCTCACGATGTTTTCCTTCACCGCTGAGCACGTGATAATTCAGCACTTAAAATTGACAATTTCATTGGTGCCGGCACCGGGGATTGAACTCAGGTTGCTCGAGTATATTGAATTAAAGGCGAGCGCCCGGACACTGAGCTATCACGGCTCATCAATAATAAATAATAAATAGTTAATAGAACAAATGAATGTCCTAACAACGTATTAGGGAATTATGTTTATTTTTAATAAAAACTAAGATTTTTGATAAATAACATTTTTAACTAACGATTGATCGTCCAAATTGACAGATTACTTAATAAAACTTTTGACAGCTCGTTGACCACCGAAAAGCGCTTTCAGAAACTCGATTTTCTGTTGATTGTCCATTAATCAGTGACTAATTGCAAATCAAAATCAATGTTGTTTAAGACGTTCTAGCAACTCAGATCATGTTAAACAACGATAGACAAGAGATTTATCGTAAATTAAAATTGATTGCGCTTTCGGAAACTGGGTGTAAATGAATCATGTTTCGAAGATAAAGTAATTTAACACGATCACACTATCTTTAATAACCTACGATATACTAGATACTTAAACACCTTTACACCCGACGATTTAACGAAGCCTTTTGCTAGGTGATCAAATCATAAAAACATGTTCTGTATATACGTTTAACACTACTTATATTTGAAATACGCTGGCGCGTCTAGGGGAGAAAAGCGAGAAACTAGGTTGTAGATGTTATAGTGTACGTCTTTTATGCAATTGAATAGTTCAACGTGAGGCGTATCTTACCATAACTGAATGCCGTATGAAAATTACGAGCGTCGACAAAGGTAAACAATTTGACTGCATCAACATAAATTAGAGGCCTTCTACTTTATCCTCGTGTTCACATCGCAAACGACTCGAACAGCTTTAAAACCTTTGATTTCCTACGTTTTTTTCATACAATCATATTTTAACTTTACTTCACTTCGATATTATTCTATATAAAGGGCAAGTGGACGATTAAAATTGTTCTATTTATACCATATATAGATCTAGACAGGTAAAACTTTTCATAAAATTTCATAATTCTTGTTTGGTTGTGTTTCATAACAATCAGTTCAGAAGCACACTGGATACCGATGAACGAATACGTGATACTGTTTTCCTCAACAAGAATCGATAAATTCTGACGGCTTTCACCGTGCCTATTATCAAATCAAACGTGACAGGTAATATCTCTCATCTTTGGACCTTTACATGTATGACTTCTATAGTGTGATTCAGGAGACTTTTATTTCAAACTAAGCAATTTCTGGAAAGACAGTATTGTAGTGGACCGAATTGTGAATTTAAACCATTCTTTAACCTACCTGAAGACACGCAGTACAGTACAGTACGCGTACAGAAGAATTATATATACATATATATATATATATATATATATATATATATATATATATATATATATATATATATATACACACACACACATATATGAGAAAGCGACTTTCGCGGACAGAAACCGTCACGGTACAAATGTAGCACCGTAGCGTCATAGTAGCCGTCACCATAGCCGCGTAGCGTTTTCGTAGCTCCGTCGCAGAGAACTGTGTGATGCATTTGCAATGGTGTTACAATTTACCGGTTGCGCAGAGCGTTCCGAAAAATTGCTAATTGCCGAAAAAAGTGCACGTGCTTTGATAGAACACGCATAAGCAAACCTGATACCCATCGATGTTGCGATGAAGACAGATTGTTTACTGTCCTCTCACCCATCACTCCATTGAAGAATGCATAAACAAATATAATCTCAACATCATAAGGTAGCACACACGCGGATAAACGGGTCTTCACTCTAACACGCTCCGTACTTTGCATTCACTTTTATCGTCGGTGCCATGAAATCCTCAGTATTTTTCGCAAAACTTCATAATTCTATCAAATTTCCATTTGCATATAAAAACTTTCGACGCGTTAAAAAAATACGGCGTGAATTTCGTTTTTGAGCACGCCTCATTTCACGAATGCTTTTAAGGCTGGAATATCTTTCTACATAAAGTACGTAATCCTCGTTGAGAGTATTTGAATAATTCATAAAATTTTATGTCACAGGCAAAAAATATTTATATTGTAATTATTTTTCCCGTTTAAATTATCATAAGGAATAACAGGCAAAAACTCAAGCGATCAACTGATGGCCTGTGGTCAAAGGACTATAAAGACTCGTGCCATGAAGTGTAACGTTTTAAATCCCTGACGGGGAGGATGGGGCTTGTGTTATTTTTCTTGCACTATATATTTGAAGTTATATTGTAATTAATATGATAGAAAACCACATGATTCGATTCGGAATTCGGTTATCATTTCGCGGTAGCCCTATAAATGTCCATAAATATTTTGAACAGCTGAATTTCGATTGTTTGTATATAATCCTTTGGTATATCAACACTGTAGTATGGAGTACCCATTCTGCTTTTTTCACTAATGTAAAGCTACATAGTCCATACGTATTGTACATAGGCGTTAACTAGATAATATAAAGGTACTTTTTTTGGCTATTTTAATATTTCTTCAGTGGTTGGATCACGCACCTTTTTAAATATTGTCAACGCATCAGCAAGCCATCGGACTTTTTAGATGTTCAAGGGCTACGGTTAAATTTAACATCAGTTGAACCGCCTGCACACTTGACAACTTTTGCCATAAAAAAAAAAACAAAGTTCAGATCAGCAGAAAATTTTGAATACTCCAGACGACAGTCGTTCTTCATTTTAATATATAACATTTTCAGTTTTCTCAGCTTGACTCCTACTACAGTACCCTATAATCTTGTTTTGTTGGGGCGTTTTACAACCACAACGGAAAAGCGACCAGAGAACAGAAACAAATGTCTGTCGGTTGTATAAATATTTGGGAATCGAGTTTACGACCCGCTGCACACAATGCGGCAACTTTGATCTAACTCAGATTTATCCAGCCAGCAAGGTTAAAAAAAAAAACGAAACTTTAGCGATGCGCAACATTCGTTTAGCCATTTATTTGGACATCGTTGAAGGCACACCGGTATTTGCACTCACTGCACATCTGGGCCGGTCAGATATTACGAAATGGTCGGCTCCATATGCGACATAAGATTCCTCCGGCAACAACCGATTGTACTCGAAGTTAGGACGGACCAATTGCGATGCCTTGTCGTCGATAATTTCGTGCGAGACGTACCTAAGCGTTCAAACGTGATAAATTCGCGTAGTAGAATTTTGCTGATAAAAATTTTCAGAAACGTGAATGTAATAAAATGGCTACAGTCCAGGCAGTAGTAATATTAGGTGGCATTTACTGGAAACACCATAACAATTTTTTTCTTATTTTAATTTGCATTATTCCATTCATTCTGAAGTCAAAAGCAATGTTTAAATGGGAAAATGTCGAATTTCAGTAAAATCATATATTTCAAGGATTTCACATGAAACTACTACGAATAGTTTATAAAGAAAACGATTTCAACTGAAACGATCACCTTCCCCTATAACCGAGTCCGAAAAAGATTCAAAAAGGACCGAACAGGTGAGAGATATTAAAGCGCTACGCCCCACAAAGACAGTTCAAGTTTGTACCGTTCAACGGTTCATGCAATAAATGCGACATTAAACAATATCTCGACATAAATTTTCCCCGCCGATAGCAATTGGATCAGTGTTTAATAGGATTATGTAGGGTGCATTCACGCTGGAGCAGTCTTTCAGCGTAGCGGACAGCGTAGCACGGGTTGGGAATGCAGCTACGCGTCCGCTACATCACGCGGACAATCCGCTTAAAAGGCGCGCGGAAAATCCGCTTTTTGTTATCGTCAACTTTCAGCTACGTCAGTAGCGTATTAAGTAGCTGAAAGCACTGGTACTTCATACTACTACTACGACGCGAAGGGCGAAGAATACGCACGCAAAATCATATTCTTCTACGGTTACAGCGCCTCCTGCCAGTTGACAACAAGCCAAAAACAAAACAGTTTTAGTCGATTAAGGCATATTTTTAACCCCTAAAAACTAAGCCAATAGCAAAGAACTCTGGGATCAATATCAGATAATGCAGACATTACATGCAGATTTAATTATTAAACCATTTTAAATATTAAATATTTTACAATAATATAGTATTAAGTGAATAAAAATATTAATATTAAATAATTAATGTTAATCCTAAAGCTCTTATGTCGATCTATTTTATACCATCGGAGTTTTCTAAATGATTGATAAACCAAACGTATATCTTTCCTTCGCCATATGTGTGGCGAAGGAAAGATATACGTTAACTTTAAGTAAAAATGTTATAAACCTTACGCCGCATTGGCAAAGGTGCGCTTGGACCGAATCCAAGCGCACCTTTGTGTTTGCGCACTCTGAAGTTTGATTGTTTGACACTGTAAATTTGCTTCCTTAGAATCCGGCTCTCTTTACTTTATTTGTTCGGTGTTCTGATGTAATGATATAAAATCATTTTTTTAGTAACTAAAAACAAAACCGACTTCAAATCTCGCTCTTTATACATTTCAATAATGTGGGCCCCGGCTACCTCACTCACCAGACGAAACCCAGAAGTATTTGTAACACTTCCACTTCATGCCGGTCCTGCTCATTCGTACGACAGCGGCATTGTAGATACTTTGGCTATGCGTGATTTTGTTAAATACATATTGGATGATTTATCACCTCTTAAGTTCTGTCACTTGATAGGCGTAGTTTGTCTATAAAGCGTACGGCATTAGCTCTAGGTTGAATATTGTAGTACAATTATGTTACTCTTGATGCTCTATATACATCTCATTATTCCGGAAGTAAATTTTCTGAAGTTGTCACTTCGACATTGTGTGAAAAACGAAATTGCACTCACATTATTTTATACTTATTGAATTTTACTTTTACTTCCATGATGTCCTTTTTAAACATAATTTTAAAACCTAATAATTTCGTTTTAATGGAAACGTAAGACTTTAAAGATTAAAACACATAGGGGCTACAACAAGGATATGTAATTTAAAATAATAACATGCTTGGACATGAATTGTTGGCGTAGTTGCTAATCATGTGTGCACGCGACATGTTTTTGTGTGAGCCGTAAACAATTGTTTCGGATTCGGGTGTTTGTTCTCTATTGGAGGGCTGACCGACCTCGCCTAGGTAGGATAAGAGCTTTAGAAAGATGAGTAGAAAATACCCTATCCCCTACACTTCTGCAGCTATTTAGGCTATTTTTATATTCTGTGTCTCCGTGTGCATCTTTAATAATTGATCTAGTGCATAAGAGTGATGATAATTCTCCACATATAAATTATTATAAGCACTACCTGTGTCTATTCATTATTGTATGAAATATTTGACGTGAAATAATCAAGCAAAGCTTTATCTATTTAATGCGAATTGCACGTCATTTGCAGCAAAGCTTTATCCTTTGAGAAAATGTAAACCATTTTAATAAGGGAAATTATGAAGCAACTACGTCTAAAACGGATATTAAAATAACTTACAAAGGGGATTGTTTTTCCTATTTTTACACGCCTGCGTCTGTAGCCGCTACAGTAATTAAGAGTTTTATATGAACAGTTACCTTGTTGAACTGTTGTAGAGATAGCTACCGCCTTTTTTAAGTGGTGAGAGATATTAAAATTAAGTTAGAAGCTGTATTATAATTTCTCCTAAATTCTTAAATTCGATATGTGTGTTTATGGATGCCGCGAGATAATCTATACACAATTTTCAAGTCAGGCATGAGTCATTTGCTTCTAAACTTTCAGTTCCCATAAGGTACTATCGGTGGCATTCTGTAATGTCATGTAACTAGCAAAAAATTTTTTAATTTTGAATCACGCATCTAACTTTACCGCGCAATAGGTGTATGAACAACGAAAAAATAGGCAGTCCCCTGCGGACAGAAGTGAAAACATAAAACAATATCAAAATTAAAATTCTATAACACTTAATTCTACATATTTTATAGGCACTCTGAACGGTAATAACAGTATTTATATCATATCCATAACCACAAATTTCATTATTACTGCTTATTCGTTTTTTATAAACAGCTCATGGAAAGCGTTCAGTGGCGATGACTCGACTTCCATGATTTTCGTTCACCAAAAAAATGTGCTCATCGCGCATAAAGAAGCTTTCACTTCGATAACACAGATGGGAGGAATGAAAACGGTATACCTACCTACCTATACATTACATTGGCCGCACAACTCGACGGCCGTAATGTGACAACTAGCCGAGCGCGGCGGGCCGATTTGTGCGCGTCGCGACGTCCGCGTGTACGCTCGTCGGATCGGCGGGATCGGCCACCGGGGCAATTCCGCGGTTCGTTCGTCGCCGATACGCAATTAACGCGGTTGCGCCTAGTCCTAGCTGAATGCGCGAAAGGTGCACCGCCAATGTTGACGGCGCCAGTTTTGGTAATTTTATATCAATATCAATCTTTGGAACCAAGTTCTTTATTGCACGGTTCGGATTTCGCAGGTGGGGGCTAGGTGAAAAAAACGTTTAAGAAGTTTTCCGTCTCAATGACAACTTTTTGATGTTTACCAATAATTTCAAGTAATTATTAAATTACAGTCTAGGCTCTCCACAATTTGCTTTCAACGAAACCTAATTCACTTTGGTCACGTCGCCCGTAGGCAGTCAGATAATTTCGAAAAACTAGTTGTAGTTGAGGAAGTGGATGGCAAAAGACCACCTGGGCGATAGTGAAGACCACGAAGAAGAAGATTAAATTAAACCGTTCCACAAAGTAAAGTGAAATATCAACCTATACATGTCCCACTGCTGGGCAAAGACCTCTGTACAAAGAGTATCGGGGCATAGTCCACCACGCGGCCCGACTGCGAATTGGTGGACTTCATCGAAATCATCTTCGAAATATTTTTTTTTTATTATTATTTCCAAAATACGCAGGTTTGCTCACGATGTTTTCCTTCACTTCTGAGCACGTAATAATTCAAAATTTAAAATTAACAATATCATTGGTGCCAGCAACGGAGATGAAACTCAGGTTGCTCGAGTATATTGAATTAAAGGCGAGCGTCCGGACACTTAGCTATCACGGCCCTTTGATATCAATTTCATTTAATGTCTTTTTCCCAAACAAGACGTACTGACACAGGGGGTAAATTTTTAGATATCGCAAATTTAATACGTTTATCAATAATAAGATAACACGAAAGGAACTGTGTTCCGAGTGTTCCATGACACTCACGCATTCTTTTTTTATCAATCGAAATGGAAAAGACAATCACGATGTCCCTGCAATAATTTATTGCTGCGTTGAAATTATGCCAAATGTAAGAGAAGTATAAATACAAAATTATTCTTTATACCGGTTTCGATGAGTGTGCGCTTTGAGAGTCGAGTAAGAAGCCTATTCACGCAAACCTATAGAAAATTTCCTGGCTCTACTATAGTAAGATTTCAGTATTGTGTTCGATTACTTTGATATACTCAAAGGCGACCTGCCTTAGAAAACATTTTCACAATACGTTATCGGATAGCGATTGAACTTTGACGCTTATTGAGAATTGAGCGGAGCAGTATTCAAATAACACACAGAGTTTTGCAAAAGGATGATAGGATTTCAAAAGGTAATTCTACCTATATAATATATCTGTATTGAGGTTTCAACAAGATTAAAAAAAACCCGGCCAAGTGCGAGTCGGACTCGCGCACAAAGGGTTCCGTACCATTATCTATAAAAACGGCAAAAAAAATCATGTCTATTGTATTTGTTGTAATGTGTTGTAACAGAAATACATCCATCTCACGTGCTTCATGACATACAGCCTGGTGACAAACAGACAGACAGACAGCGTAGTCTTAGTAGGTAGTGTCCCGTTTTACCCTTTGGGTACGGAACCATAAAATGATACAAATTCGCAAGAGCGACTCAAAAGTATTCTAATCACACCAATAATGAGCTACAAAATCGTTATCCTGGCAATTATTTAATTCTAACGCAGGGATTTCTTAGGCTATCATAAACTCACCCAGTCCTGATAGGTGAAATGGGTTTAGTCAATACCCGAACACCGGAGTCAAAATTGAGACGGCGCCCTTTGCAACCAAAGTAAGCTCAAAACGGATTATTCACCGGTGCGCGTTATAGGAGTGAATTCAATTTAGCGTCGTCATACCGTCTCGACGATCGAGCAAGGTTTAGAGACGGGGAAAGCGGAGAAGTTTTTTTCTTTGCGTTTCAATAAATCTGTATTCACGATATAACAGCAAAGTAAATAATTCCTCCACTTCGGTAACTACTGAGAAGCCCTACAGTGCCCAGCTAAAGTTACTAAGAACCAATCGAGAAAAGTGTCGGCAGTTTATATCGCTTCATTGGATTTTCCTTTTCCTTTTTGCCTTTGGAAAATGTTTAAAGGGGAATATTTCTATTAATAAATGTTGATATTTATTCCGTCAAAGGGAATTTTTCTTTGAATTCCTTTTAAGAAGCTCAACTGTAACTATTCACACGTGCAAAGATAAATGGAGAACTGTTCTCGCCGCTGCGGGATTAGTCGCGGCACCTGCTGGGTAACGCGCCCGCACAAAATCGCATTTTAGTTTTATTCGGTGCAAAGACTGGCACCAAAAATGAAATTATATAATAAACTTAGGGATATTATTTATTTCATATGCCCTTCATCTGGTTGCACAACAAGAAAGGAACTTTATATTGCACCATCACAAGTGGCAAGAAACGTATTGGTTGAGTTGATCCTAATAAATAAAAATGGATGTTGGTAAGCGCATTACTCAAGAATAGCTGGACCAATACGGCTAATTTTATTTTTATGTCCCTTCAGGTCCAAGGTCCAAAGTTTTAATACGATAAAAAAAGAATGAAGTCTATCCAGGCAGCTAGTTTTTATAAAATCATATTTCCTGCAAACAGTGTTGTTAATGTTTCAATACAATGTAAGTCTAAGACAGTTCGTGAATTTTTATGCATCATTTTCTAATTTTTGCTGTATTAAAACTATTCTTTAAATTAGTATCTACTTACGATACAAGCATGCCAACATTTATAGGCTTTGTGTAATATATATGTGAGATAAACATTTGGGTACAACTAGTTCAATTTCTTTTTTCCATTTCGGAAATTGTTATTAAATATATTTTACAAGATGAAGACAATTTTAAACACGTAATATATAAAATTTCGTCAATGCTTTCGTCATCACAAATTTTCAAAGTAACCTCCTCAAATTTTGTTATCAAAGAATTTAAAAAAAACCAATAAAGGTTTTAAGGTAATTACAACACGTCTGCGTAGAGTAGGCTGAAAGTGTAGTAACATTAAGGCAGATAGACAGATATACAAAAAATAAGTACATAAATTATAGTCTATGTCTTATTCAGTAGTATTTCCGTGAAAGATTAACAAACATCCATCCATAAATACAAACTTCCGCCTTTGTAATATTAGTAAGGATTAGTAAGGATAGAAGGTTTTGTTATGGCCGAAGGAGATAATTATTTTTGCTTGAGTGGTTATTAATGCAAACGATAACAGTATAGAGATAAATAACGAAAAATAACGTATGTTTAAATCTGCGCAGAAAACAAACGGAATATTATTAGCATTATCATGTTTGATCCTGAATGATTCATCCAATTTGCACGGCCGAATTGAACAGTTGGATATCCGCATATTATAAACATTATATCCGGAAATTACCTCTTATTGAAACAATTGCAGGTAATGCAAGGTAACAAAGTGAAACATTTACAACAGATAAAGGGTGAAACTATGCGCGTGTCGGACGCTGTGTTTTGAAGAGAACGAGAATCGAGGTTGCGTCCTGGAAAACATGAGAGGACGGATGCGTTGTTCCTTGCTTAACACAAAAGCCTTCAATGTCTCACTTTTCTTATCTGATTGTTGGTTGTAAGCTATAGCATACGTCTTCGTGTTTAAGCAAAACCCGAATATCAGTCAATAGAAAAAGGAATTTGAAAACTAATTGTTGAACGCCAATCGATTATTTGAATCGAGTCGTACCTCCTTTGTTACAGTTGTTATTCTATTGACCATCTTTCGTAAGCTGAGATAACGGAGATACATTGGAGATGATTTGATTGTCGCGTCAGCGTCGTGCACCAGCTACGTTTTGCCCGCAGACCACTGCAGACTAAGATGTCAAAGCCCTTCTTAGACTAGCAGCGTTTAAGTTTCACAAGAAATAATGAAATGAGGATGCCTTGTCATTGGCAAGCAATCGCATTTATGTAGGACTTGAAAAAAAAACTAATTAAGTTAACAATAATTAATATATTTATTCAAAAATAAAATAATTGTTGTATTAAATAATTAATATACATAACTAGCGGACCGTGCATACGATGTCCTGTTCACACGACTTAAATCCGAAAACTTATAAATAAAAACAACTAATATTTGTGAATCTAAACCATTCTTGAATCGACTTGAAGACACAAAAATTTAATTGAAATCGGTCCAGCCGTTTAGGAGGAGGTCAGTGATATACACACGAAAGATAATAATTAAAATAAATAAAAAGCGTTGTGATGCGAGTTTGATGATTTTATTCACACGAAAAGTACACATAATTATTTTATTCATCTACTACGAGTATTCTAGTGTTGCGATTCTGCATAGGCGGCGTGAAACATATGACGTTAGGTACACTATTCTATTTGCTATTTGCCAATTCCATGCATGTTATGAATATTTGTTGTACGATATGGGATTAATATCTCTTTCCTGTGTATGTATGTCATTTTAGTAGCTCTTAATAAAATATTTAGAAAATCGCAATAGCATAAAAATGGACTTAACATGAATAACGGAAACCTTAATCTCTGAGGCTTCGCGATTGATCTGACTATATTTTCTAAACATCAAAAAATCTTGAGGAAATGCTTAAAGACTTATTCCGTTATATATCTGTTACAATCTAATATATAAAATTCTTGCGTTACAGTTTAAGTGTTTATACTCCTCCGAAATGGCTTGACCGATTTTGACTAAACTTAATATGTATATTGAGTAGGTATGAGAATAGATTAATAACAATTATTTTTATTTTTGTTATATCCTTCAAATTATTTATATGGCAAAACAATGTTTGCCGGATTAGCTAGTAATAATAATAGCTTGAAAAGAAGATAGCCGTAAATAAAACAATACATAAATAACTTGAATTAGCATCGACAATGCCTGGATAGTACTGAAAATTATTTATTAACATTGTAAAGAAAACTTTAAATATCATGTGCATTTTAGCTACGTTTATTTTATTTATTGATACTTCATTGTTACACCTTAGACTAAAGGCTACAATGGGCGGACTTAATGCCTAGTGGCATTCTCTGCCAGTCAACCCTTGTCATGGTGAGAAGTAGATGGCAGGTGCTAAAACTAAAGTAAATAAAAGTAGGAAAATATATACATAAAAATCAAATTAAATATAATGTGTGGATATATACGAATATGTATATGAATATTATTAATCATAAACTAGTTTAACATATGGCTGCCAAACATGGGCACTAACAAAACAAAATGTAGAATAAAATGAACGTATTAGGCTTCAAAAGAAAAGATAATATAAAATGAAACTTATAACTTAATTGAAAAACGCGAATAATGGTATGCGGAAGATAACAGAGAAAAGTAATTTAGGCGTCAAAATATAAGATAATATGACATATATAACATAATACGACAATGTTAATGGGAAGAACGTCAAATTGGCTATCAGTTAATATCAGAGTGGACCCCAAGGTATGGCAAAAGAAATAAAGAACACGACCTCAAAAAAGTTTCTGATCCAGAATGTATGAACGATAGCGAGAGTTAGGGAGAAATGAAGCCCTTGTGGCAGAACACGCTTTATTAAAAAACCCAACGTTGTTCAAAGATAAGCCTCATTATCATATTTAGATGTATTGTATTTTGATAACTATCGCTAATAGTGTTAAACAGCAATAGCGGCTTATCTTATCTCATGAATTATATCTGTCTGTTTGAGTAAACATAATTCGAATAGTGATAGTCCGATTTACATGATGACAATTGACAGCCTAGGATACAATTAGAATGTGGGAATATCATACCTGAGCAAGTTTCAGCATAAATTTGGTTACGGCCATATAGCTCGTATTAAACTACACGTCACGAGTTAATACGATAGAGCCATAATACAATAGAAATATAATATTCAGTCATAATCAATGAAATTTT